TTCTACTGGTTGGGAAGAAGGCATCCTGCTCTTGGCTAAGAAATCAGCTTCTCACTCACCCTAGTCCATTCCCTCCTATAATCAGAGGGTCAGAGCTCTTCCCTTCACCAGTACAAATCCAGGACAGCCCTAGGGAAGTCAAAACAGGTGTTCTTTGGCTTTTAGGAGCCAAATCTGATCTGTAAAGTGCAACTCCTTCATCTGCTTTGCAGCACATTTTCAAAGAGCCCAAAATTGCACAGTGTAGCCAGGAAACCGAGCCACTTAGAGACAGATTTTGCTCTGCTGCCCCTGCTCTAGTGTGCTGAGCATCAAAATGAGAATTAGTAGTGCCTAGGGCTAGCAATACATGGGAATAGCCAACAAGAAAGGGCAGAGCTCAGGAAAAAAAACTCTGCTGTTTCTTCCCACACTAAAACCAAGTTGTAAAATGGCCCATAGCAAGTGAAAATTAATACCACCACAGATATCTATTTCTTATGCAGCAGAAAAACGGAGCTAGCTGCTGCGGTTAAATATGTGGTCTTGGACACCTTTTGCTCTCCTGCTACTTACTCCATTTGTTGTTAGGCATCCGCCACTGGAGGAAAAGGATAGTTATAAAAGTTCGTGCTAGGGAGGAGATCAATTTCTATATGTTGTTTCTGTGATCCATGGAGAGAGAACGGCTCTTACAGATAGCGATTCAGAGCAGAGGACACCTCTAGATGTTAAATTGCCCTCAGGAAGGCCTAATACCTCTCCCTTTTACAGAAGGAACTTCAGCATACCAAGGCTACTCTCAGCCTTAGAGCATATGGGCCTCCTGCCCATTCAGTGCCCACTATGCAAGCTGCTCTCTCTTAGACAGCTTCTCTGCTCTGTTCCGTTTGCCGAGGGCTGCACACCATACCCAGTGGTGCCTGGCTCTGGCTGTCCCTTCTCTTGGCTGTTTGCTCACTCCTGAACACCAGGTTCCTTGGCCAGCAGGACTGTTGGTATCTTTTTGCCCTTCTCCTTGCTAGATAAAATCACATGGCTTATCTGCTTCTCAGCATACTGAGCAGGCTAGTTTCAACCAACCTAGCCTAGCAGCTCAAAAGCATCCATATTGTGCCATTTGCTTCCTCCTTCCCATGGCCATGTATATGTGTCCACCTTGGGTATAAAATATATGTAGTGCAAGCTACATGACACAGTAGCAGGCAGCAGTGTCTATAACACCTTCAAGGGCAGGTTGGAGCCACTACTGAAGTCCAAATGCACTTTTTATCTTTTGTGGTTGGCATATATTTTTGCTAGGACAAGGTCCCAGGCACCCATAAAAGAGGTGAAGGGGAGCCACTTGAGCCTAGGCACTTTAGCAGAGGCCCAAATGTGACTTTAACTGCAGTGTGGACAGTCTGATCGTACTAAGGCTTGGCTAATCCATCATCGTGTGTCCCTTGTAGTGCTTTCATGCAGCTGGCATTGAACACACAGCTGATTTGTAGGCAGACTTGCTCCTGCACAGACGCCTGCCATCCTTTGGTTGTCTCTTCAGCAATACAGATGCAGCCATTAAGGCCAGGATGGTGTTGGTGAAATAATTCTTTCAACCATAGATTTTACATGAGTGTCACTTCTTTTCCTCTTATATTCAACTGTAACTGAATAAAATCAACAAGACTTATCATGTAAAAAAAAAGGTGTAAGAGATGTCAGAATCAGACCCAGACAAAAAGGTTGCTTGTGTTTTGCACCACAGTGAGGAGAGCTAGCTTCTCCCCTGGTGTACACCAGCATATCTCCACAGTCACTGAAACTATTCAGATCCACACGAGCTGGTGATCTGGCCCCAAGACTCTGCAGAGTAGATACTTCTGCTGGGCATCCTTTACTGAAGCGAATGACTGCCTGTTCCTTCCCATGTCTTTCGCTCAGGATGAAATTTGAAGACTTCAAAGTGCATTTTGATAAAGTTGAGATCTGCAACCTGACTCCAGATGCCCTGGAAGACAACACTGCCCACAAGTGGGAGGTGACCATCCACCAGGGGAGCTGGGTACGGGGATCCACCGCAGGAGGATGTAGAAATTTTCTAGGTAAATAGATACTGCTTTGAAAATAAGAAGCAGGCACTGAAGTCTTTACCCACCCTCAGCCATCTCTCCTGTCACCCCATAGCCAGAACTGTGGGTGTAGGCCTGGCCAGCTGAGTCTCAGCTAGCAGGAATCAGCCAAAGGGACAAATGTTTATAAGGTCCCACTTGAGACTTTGAGGTAAAAGAGTTGCTTTCTTTGTTCTCAAGTTCATTGGAGCTGGTTTACCTCTCATTTACATTTGCATGAGCAGGACTAGCTCCAAATAAGTCACTTAAACTGCAGCAGTAGGTATAAAACGAGACAAAAATCCATCTCAGCCAGCATGTTTATGTGGCTCTGAAGTACCATCATGGATCTGAACCGTGTTGCTTCAGACTGGCACTAGCACTATGGAATCACTGTGCTTTTAACACATCTTATGTTAACTTTTAACAAAATCCCATCTGACAACTTTATTTAAACCATAGTAACTTAATAAAATATCAGGCTTAAGATATTTTCTACACCTAGTTCCATGAAGGATTTGGGGATTTGGCTTATTTTCTGCAGAGCCTAGTGGAAAGAAGCTTGACAGATAATGGAAAAACTAAATTTGGGCAAAATCTCAGCTTAATTGTCCTTTTTGTCGTGGGTTTTTTTGGGGGGTTTTTTTGTTTTGTTTTGTTTTGTTTTTTTTAAGTAGAAGTAGTGGTGGTATTATTATTCCGAAGCAAGAAACTCTCTGGTATTCTTTACATTGGCAGAGACTTTCTGGACAAATCCACAAATCAAGCTACATTTGACAGAGAAAGACGATGGACAAGATGACTGCACATTCATAGCAGCACTGATGCAAAAGGATCGCCGTAAGCTCAAGAAGCTTGGTGCTGAAATGCTAACCATCGGCTACTCTATTTATGAGGTACTCTATTGCTTTTACAGCACAGTAGCCACACTATCAGTATTAGCATCTTTCTCTGGGTTTGTACCCCTACCAGTCAGCTTAGGGCCCTTGCTCTTAAAATAATTTTCTCAGTTACATTAAGCTCCACAGAGAATTTTGATGTGGTTGGGATGGAGCCCTCTCAGAGGAGGATTTAGGAGTCCCTGCGGGACCATGGGTTCCCAGGATAGACTCCTTGGCCTCATGATTCTGTCATCCCCTGCCTGGGTCCCGGAAAGGGGACGTTCCTTCTTATGACACTCTTGGGGTGCCTCACACACAGGGGTGCCTGTCCCTGAGTGAAGCTGGGATTGGCAAATCTGCTGTCACTGCTCTGTGACACCCCACCTGGGATGGTGATATTTAATGGCAGGGAACGTTGAAGTAGGAAGACAATGTCCCAGAGTCCTCTTAGACTGGGTGGGAAAGGACCACCAGTAACAGGTCCTTGCCATAAGGTGGGAGCTAGGTTGCTGTGAGCAGCTGGGTGAAGAGATGAGAGTCAGGGTCACAGCTGGTGGAGAGGCTTGTGCGAGGCAGAGTTTGGATCTGTGATTGGGAAAGGGGCAAGGATGGCCCCCAGCACACCCCAGCCAGTGGAGCGGTGCCTTTGTTTTCTCTCCTAGAGCCCTGGCAGAGACGGACACTTGGGCAAAGACTTCTTCAGGTACCACCCCTCCAAGGCCAGGAGCAAAACCTACATTAATTTAAGGGAAGTATCTAACCGATTCAAGCTGCCACCAGGAGATTACATTCTTGTTCCGACCACATTTGAACCGCACCAGGAGGCAGATTTCTGCCTGAGGATTTTCTCTGAGAAGAAAGCCATCACTGAGTAAGTCAGCGGTGAGCCCCAAGCCCTCCAGTGCTTGCCTGTGCGTGAGTCTGGTGGCTGCTGGGTTGCGTCTGGCTGCTGGGCAGCTGGCATGGAAAGCTCCTGATGGTTTTTTTGCATTTGCCCATTTTTGCTAAACCTGATTTTTCTTTGGAGAGGTGGGGAAATAGAGCTTGCCATGGTGAATCTGTGGGAAGAGTTGCTAGCTGCCTGATACTGTTCAGAAATCTGTGAATGCAGCAGTGTATGCTTCCTCCCAAAGTTTGTCCAAAGGACAATTTTATATTAAAAAAGGGTTTTGAGGAAAAAGCGTGTGTGCAATGAACAAAGAATGAGATTAATTCTTTAGCAGACAGTGTGCACAGCTGTGCCCTCCCTGAGTATTGCTTAAAGTCTGTTTTAAGGGCTTATATCAAAATTTAAACAGTGCAAAAATCCAACTGTCTGATTAATTTTATCTAAACTTAACCTGTTCGGTAAAAAAATGCAGTTTTATCATTCATCTCTGGAAAATGTAATAAGCAAGCTTCCACCCCAAGCAGAGGTTGAATATCTTCAGATACCAAATAAGGTTTTGTTTTCTCCAGGGATCTAGATGAAAACGTTGCCATTGATCTCCCTGAGGTAAGTCTACAAAGTTAAAACGGCAAGAGAATAGCTCAGCAGAAGATGGCACAAATTTTTACTGTCTTTGGCTAAAACATATTCATTTGACAGGAATGTTACACAATTGCCAGCTTTGTATATGTGACTGAAACAGTCAGTTCTGCTGAATATGGTAAAAAAGCTGTAACAATCAAAATCATAATCGTTATGCTTCTGCATCAGCTTCAAGGCAGTCAGCCAGCACCAGAGGTGGGTATCAGCCACCATGGGTGCGCTGAAAGCACACCCAATAGCACCAGGGAGGCACCTGGCCATTCACATCTTTTAAAATTTTATTTAATATGAAAAAATAAGAGGCAAGAGAATGTCCACAGGCCTACATTCATTTTGCATACAAATATATTTATTTTACTTATCAATTTCTGCAGGGCATGGGAGGGAATGCTTGATACATGAATGTGCCTGCTGAAATGATTAAATTCTTTTTGTTTCTGAATGGTCTGGTCTGCCTGCTAAGCACTAATTGCAGCTGAGATTGAGTGGGCTCCTGTTTAAATGTAAACCTGCAAATAAGCTATTAACTGTGGTATGCCTTCCCACGGAAAGAAGCTAAGCCAAGATCTCATGTGTCCCTCTTTAGTAAAACTCTCCTCCAGGGACCAGCTAACAAGTGCGTCTCCATTTCTGGGATCTCAGGGCCATGTTGAGTAGCAAAGTACATCTGTTCACCTGTCCCATTATCATTAAGGGACTGCATCCAAACTTAAGCAGAAGGAAGTGAGGAACATACATATGGTCAAAAAAAGTGTAAGTAAGTGGCCAAGCAGTGTCACCAGGGCCAGTCTGGTGACAGTTCGCTAAATAGCATCCATGTTGTACCTTCTGTGGGTAGAGAAAACAAAGCCCGATTCTTCGCTTCCTGTGCTGTGCTGTTGCTTTCTTTTACCCCATTTTTTTGGCTTAAGAACTCCCTCTATTCACACGGTCACCCCAACTAATAGCAGTGGCTCTACACTGTTGCATCTCTCTGCTCATCAGCATAGACTGAAGCCTGGACTCTACACCCCTGCGAAGGCACTGCGGCACTCAGCTGGCAGCCAGCTGAGAGTGCTTCCAGGCTCAGGATGGCACTGGGTAATGTGTCAAAGTGCAGCCACCTCTGGCTGGTGCTCTCAAGAAGGGCGAGAGGTCTCTGGATGATGCCGCTGGAAAGAGCCGAGTAGACCTGTGGTTGTTCAAGGACTGGGGAAGCAGAGTGGTGCAGGGGTGCGATGAGAGGATAGGAGTTTTCCAGGACAGGTGCTCTTGGTTTTGACATAGCCAAGGCAATGGCACACTAAGCAATCGCTCAGGCAAAGGAAATGAGGGGGTGAGACTCCCCTTCGGCAGCTAGATGGCTGGTAGTCGTCAGGTCTAGCAATGTTCAGGAGCATGTGTACCCTTATTTTAAGATGTACTATGGTCCCCTGATGCACAGAGGGGCTATATGCAGGAGAAATGTCATGTTTATGATTCTTATAATGACTTGTGTGGTTGATGTTGCAGCCTCTAAACCCAACCCCAAGCCCACAAGAAACTGAAGAAGAAAAGCAGTTCCGGGAATTGTTTGAGCAGATTTCAGGCAAGGTGAGTGCAAAACCCTTGTGGGTCATAGTAAGATGTAGAAAGAGGGAGGACACTTCTGCTCCTACTCAGGACCAGGTGAAACGACAAGGACATATTTTGGGAGTACTCTTAGTTGTAGTGTGTTGTTTGGGCACCAGATGTCACCATGCCTTATGTCTAGATGGCGAAAGGTGCAGTCCCTGGTGAGCAAGTAGCACCAAAGCTAGAACTCAGTCTCTGAGGGAGCCTACTTGGTTCAGTGTCCAGCTGCAGTTTGTTTTTCTTTGAATCAATGGTTTCTGCTTGAGATCTCCTTCAGACAGCCTTATGCACAGCAGCACTCCTGTATTTTGCTAGCCCTTTAGTTTTTAGCCTTTTCTGGTTTTTGTATGCTTCTCTTTTCCCGAGTTGCAATAAAGTACAGATGGGTGATGTTTGTGTTTTCTGAGGTTTTTGGCATGTCTGATTACAGAAACATTCAAGTAACAGATGCTGCACTTTTTTTTTTTTTTACTTTAGGACATGGAGATAACTGCAGAAGAGCTTGAATATATTCTGAATGCTGTATTAAAAAAAAGTAAGTACTGATAACCGCTAAGGGCTGTAAAGAACTTTATAAAAGCTGCCATTAAATTCACTTACAGATAGAAAAATAAAGGCTGTGTTACGACTCCTGCCTGGTGTCCTCCAGCCAGCCGGGGCAGAGCCAGGAAAACATCTGGTCCATGATCTAACCACAAGTTTGCCCTGCCTCCAGCAAGATCCATGTCAGCTCAGTGAGGCCAGTTCTCCATTGCACTACTGCTCTGCTGTGGAGACAGGCACTGAGCTGGGACTTGAAGACCTGGACGTAGTTCATGACCCTGTTTACAGGCCCTTTGTACAACGGGAAACCTGTCACTCTCTGAACCTCATCTCCTGATTTATGGAACAAGGACAATATTTCCTGTTACATCTTCAGTAAATAGCTCTTCTGTCTGGACTGTGACTTCTACAAGAAAGGCTGGAAGGACGATCCTGGGAACTACAGGCCTGTCAGCCTGACCTCTGTACTGGGGAAGATCATGGAACGGTTTGTCTTGAGGGTGCTCACAGGGCAAGTGCAGGA